GCACTTTTGGGGGTTTTTTTTTTTTTTTTTTTTTTTTTTTTGAAGCCTTCAGTGCTTAAGCGATCGTGCAGCTCCTCTTGCTAGCACAAGCAAACGCAGCTTATTTGCGCAGTAGGAGTCAGGCTGCAAAAGCTGAACCCAGTTTTGCTTTCTGTAATATTTCTGTGCACGACACCTCCTCCCTAACCGTTGCCCTGTATTTTCTGACGATTAATACAGGAAAAACACAGTCCTCAATGGATGCTATTCTGTGCTCGAGGCAAAGCAGTAAATAAATACCCGCAGCATATGCTGTACGAATACAAAAACATCGTCGTTAAAGCGGTCAGGTCTAGTGCCAAGATAAAGTCCAAAGGACTCTCCAAACCCGCAGAATGCTAATAAGATGTTTTAAAAGTGGCTCGGAGCTTGTTGCCAGCAAAGATCAAAGCCCCCGAAGGCATAAACATATTCCCAGGCGGTTGGGTGGGCGCCAGCAGCAGCCGGGCCGGGGCGGCCGATGTGCCCAGGACCCGGCCCCCGGGGCCCCTGGGGCCCCCCGGCGGGCGGGGAGCCGCTCCGTCCCACACCGCTCCGGGTGCTTGCAGGAGCTTGAGTAGGATAAAGCAGGGTTTTAGAATAGAGTCATTTTTGGTTGACACTCCTTCCAAAACATTCCCCCCCCCCCCCCCCTTTTTTTTTTTTAAAAAAAAAAAAAAAAACACTACGCTCATTCTTTTCTTAACTGAGAGCACTCGGTTTTCTGCAAGACCAAGCTGTTTTTTTCCACATCCTCCATTGCAAAGGGGGAGAGGGGAGGAATTTGCGAATGAGAGGCAAGACAGCTGCTTCAGGGACGATGCTCACAGCAGAAGCAAGTCCTGTTTTTCCCTCCTGCATGTTGATTTGCTCCAATTCCTGCCTCCTGAGGGGAGGCAAACACGTACAGCATCAGCATGCCTGTTGTACACCTCTCTTCTGACTGTCATCAGAGAGCAAGAGAGCTTTACAGCCTCGATATTTCTGATTCCTTCAGGTTATCACAGCAATATTTAAGCTGTCACTCATTTGTTTGTTCTCACCCATTGACTACCAAGCAAGACAGAATGGATTTTACCTACAACAAACAATAATCACAACTATGTAAAAATACAGCACCAGGGAGACCATCCAAAACAGGGCTTGAAGCTAAAGCCTCACATTAATATTTCAAGCAGATGGGTAGGCTCACTTTAACAGCCGAGATATTTTTCCTGCTCTGTTACAGCTGGGCTTATAGTCTAAAAATGACCTAAAAGCACTACCATGGGGCCAGCTTACAGGTAGGGCTTTGGCCCTGCACAATCGCTCCTGCTGCATCACAACCTTGATCCTGAGTTATAGAAGATGAGTTATAGAAGACCAGCATTCAGAAAGAAAACTGTGTTTGTGATGTGACCAAATTTAATCTGAAACCACTAAAACGCAATAAGCAGAGTTCCCAGGTGCTAGTTCAGAGTCACTTTTCAACTTGTAATTGAATTTTAAAGTATGCCTGGCTCAAAATTCCACTGAATAATGTTTTAGCATAGCGTGAAATTACTGCAGCACCCATGTGAAACTCCCAGCACGGCTGGTGGGAATCCGGGACTGTCTCTCCCCCTTCCTGTTCCTGCCACGAGTTCTCGTGAGTCGCTGCAGACTAATCACCTCTGGATAGGATGGTTTCCCTTCCTTGCAACAAACCTGCCTGCATATCAAGAACCATAAAAATTCAGCTTCTCATAACCACGCTGGGCAAAAAAGTTCTCTGTATTTTCTCTTTTTCTGAAGATAACGGTGCCACTGGATTACTGCTCATGGACAACAAAACCAAATGGATGCAGCTCCATCAGTCCTCTGTTATCCCACAGTCAATAGAGCCAAATGGCACAAGAAAAAAGCAAAAATTGGTAGCAGTGGAGCAGGGGGAAGAAATTCCACTAAAACATGATTTTCACAGAACAGGGTGCTAAGACAACGCTTTTTTCCCCCAAGGCACTTCTCTCACTGGCTACAAATCCTACAAATGGAAATCTTTGATGAAAAATGGTAAAAGGAACTGCACTATTTTTTTTTTTGAGAAGTGTTAATAAAAAGAAAAGGGAATGCAATAATAAAAATTCCCATACAAAGGACTAAATTTCATCACTAAATGGGCATAGTAAAGATGGTTTAAAAAGAGCCAGGCTCCTAGAAGCCGAGAGATTTTGAGCAACTAGAGCTCAGAAAGGGATTGTGCCTCATCTGTAAGTGAAACCCCCATTCTGGTGTAGAAACTGAGCGTGCCCTGACCGGTGCTGCAGAGGTGCTGCCAGCTCCCACGAGGGTCTAACCCTGGGAAAGGTGGTGTCTGCTCAGGAGCAGGGCTGGGTCCCGGCACCGTGAGCAGGAAAACCCCCCAGCGCCCGTCCCGCGCTGGGCCAAACTCCTCTGCGCCCAGCTTAAATTGCCAAGTACAACCTGCCACATCCAGCACCACGTGCATCAGCACAGCCCTCCCAGCACAGTAACTCCGTTAGCAAAAATCAGTGGAAATGAAGCAATCTAAGCACGACATGAACGGAAAACGCCAGAACACTTGCTGGAAGTTGAAGAACCTTAAAAATCAATGCATGCTTTTTCACCCTGCAGTCTCACATGCAGCTTGATTTATGGGAAAGCAAGAGTCATTACAAGCTTACTAATTAGTAAGTCTATACTCAGTGTTACAGATGCTCAGTTATTTGCTCTGAGTCGTGTTGTTGAATTCTTTATCATTTCTCCCATTATCCAGTTGTTAAAAAGCTGAAGGGGCCCTCTGAGCTACACCAGCAAGGTGCAGTCCTAGGACTCAAGTATGGCACTTTGTGGGGTATCTACTTAGCCTGTGGGTGCCAGCTCCTTTCCAAGTTATTTTTAGGGCCTACCACCCTCTCCTTCCCCTCCCCACTCCATTACCTTTCTTGTCAGAGTAAACTACTACTACTTTTTTTTTTTTTTTTTAAATCAACAGCTGGACCAGTTGGCTTTTAATTAGCAGTCATGCTCATTAGCTTATGAGTGGACATGGCTTTTTTTTTTGTCAGTTAGATAAATTGTGTCATGTATTTTTGTTTTAACAAAAAGCTCTGTGAGAGGGTGGTGGAATGACACTCATCTCTGAAGGAAAGAGAGATAACCTGTATAGAATGAAGTTGCCCTTTGCAGCCACTTGTTGGAGGTCAGGTTCTTGCAAGATATGATGGATGGATAAGATTTTATGTTGAATGCACCAGAGTCCCCCGTGAGAATTCTGTACTGTGTTGTACTGTGCATTACCAGCACTGAGTTGAATTGTTGCAGCACACAAGGATCCCAAAGCAAATACTGCCTACATTCTGTTTTTAAGTGCTATTTAAGGAGCAGAATTGAGAGACATCTTCTGCACACATGTCTAAAGGTTTGACTTTGATCATATTCTCCACAGGTCTCAGCTGGGAGCATTAATCCCAAATGACACTTTCTCACAGTGGACAACTTAAGCATTCTATGATTCTATGATTCAGCCTAAGGTTGGCAGGGACCTCTAGGGATCATCCAGTCCAACCCCGTGCACATGCAGGGTCACCTAGAGCGCCTGGCACAGGACTGCGTCCACGCGGGTTTGGAAGATCATGTGAGCTCACCTGCACTGTGGAGAGGAACACAGCCATCACCTGCCCTTGACTCTTAGTGAGGGATCGCAGGACATCAAGTGACAGAATATTTGTTGTTCCCTCCCATATGGGCAGCACCTGTGGAGTAGAAGAGACTGTGGAAAGATTGTGAAAGAGCTTCTTGGAGTGACAACAACAAATGTGGAAAGAGAGACAACAAAGATATGGGTCAGAGTTAAGGGATAGTGAGGAAACCTTTAGAAATTTCTTGCCTCACCACAAATGGAAAGTATTATTAATGATTGGTGTTAGGGGGCCAGCTACATTGCTGAGCTAAGAAACAAGCTCTTGTGACAGGAAAATGTCACGTTCCCTCCCCTCCAGGGCTGCTCTAACCCCCTTTGGATGGGGTGGTGATTGGGCTGAGCAGGAAGGCAACTGTGAAAGAGCTGCCACAGCTGCAGCGAGTCTGAGAAGGGCTGTGTCTTTCTTTGAGCATGTAGCAAGCAGCTCTGGAGGACTCTGGAAGATACTATGTGACACACAAAGGCTTCCAAGTAAGGAGCTTTCTCTGCTTCTCCTGCTGCTTTCTTACCAGCGTATCTCGGACTATGACTGGCAGGCCTGTGTCCTCCATGTAGCCCTGTCCCCCAAAAGTCTCCATGGCCTCAATAACAACAGCAGTAGCCTGCAAAATGTAAAGAACTAGCATGTTGCACATTGCACAAGAGGAGAAAGCATCCAGAAATACCTAATGTCATGTGGCAGTTCCTGCTGGGATGGGGCCAGCTGGATCTCATTGATCTGCTGAGGCAGGTTGCTCATTAAATGAGGAGAGGAGTATCCTGGGGAATGAAAAGTGAGCAACACTGGGAGAGGACTACATAAGCAGTTGGATCTTGAGAGAATGTCCAAGGAGATTTTCCTTCAGTACAGTCCTCTGTGAAAGCAAAAGCCTGAGGTATGAAAGTAAATGTCTATTCTGTATTCCAGGAGCATTTTTAACCTTTTACTTGCTACATCCCATGTTGCCCATGTTAATCATGCTTCTCTGCAGCTCTGAAGTTAATAATGCGCCACACAGACCCACTCCAGGCTGGTGGAGCTAGTTGTTCCTTACCTGTTTCCCAGTGTAAAGTTTGGCTACTGGTACCAGCAGTCTCAGGAGAAGCTTGTCTTGCTCACTTGCCATGTTGGTTTCTACAAGTCCAAGCAGTCTCACTACCTCCATAGCCAGAAGAAAGGCCCCTCGGGTCTGCACCTGCAGGCAGAGAAGTGGTGTCCTTCACTGGCAAGGGCTTTAGCCTGACCTGCTGAGGAGCCATGACGCTAACACTCAGACCTGGGCAAAGGGCTACCCCTCCTCCTGTGCAGACCCACAACTTCAGAGCCAGAGGCTGCCAGCAGCCCAGGCACAAAGCATGGAATTCTGCAGACAGTCTGGGAATGCCTCTCTTGGTTACTGCAGTCCAGTATCAGGAAGAGGACTGAATTCATTAGGCCTATTAAGAGACAGATCAAAACTCCCACCAGGCATCCACGTCACAAATCCACATTCTTTCCAAGAATAAATAACATGAAACCATCCTTGTCAGCCTCTGAGTACCAAGACCTGCAAGGTCTTTTGCCAAATGAAAGTTGCCTAGTGAGGAATCTGGAAGTTGAGCTTCGGGAAGCTTTGCTATATCGAGATGTGAGTGACACCACTTTCCCCACAGTGCTTCCCCCTGCAAATGGAATTTTTAATACTCATTTAAATATTTGCACAGACCTATTGCTGCCCAAGGACAACTGTTGGCATTACACAACGTAAACTAAGAAGTGCTGCCTGGGTGTGGAGAGGAGAACTGGGTGCATTCTCTTTGAACATCTGTTGGGCTGGGAAGCCACCTGCATCTTGTGGAAGTAGTGGTCTGCTACAGCTCAGTGTTGATGCCAAGCAGTGAGCTGCTCTGTAGGGAGCTGAGGCCCAGACATGAAATTACTCTCAAAGCCAGAGTGCCAATTCAGACCTCTCTGTGTTTCATGGTCTGAGATTCACACCTAGAAGCAGTACTCAGGCTTGCTCTGCACTGAGCAGGTGCACAGTGAACAGGACATGCTCTCAAGGGCCAGTTAGTCTGTGTGTTTTGACCCCTCAAGAATTCTTTAAACTGGTTGCAAACACTGAATAGCCCTTCTACCTGTGCACAGGCTCCCAGGCAAGTTGGATGAGTCTGCCTTGGTCTTACTAAACAGTCCATTAACTCCAATTTAGGAGATTATGTTGCAATGTTTGGATTCAGATGTTGCTGACCAAGTTCAGAGGTTGTGGCATAGTAGATGCATGCATACATTTAGGCAATCCTCTCAGTTGTCCCCAAGCAATTGTTATTTAAGTCTGAAGTCCAGCAAAGAAGTTAATTGCCAGATCAAATCCCACTGAAATATGTCAATCCCTTGTTGCATGCATCTTACTGTAGCAGGAGACAGCTACCTGTGACCATTGCACAGAGAGGCAGGTTGGCTGCTCTCATTAGCAGCTATGAGTCTCTGCCCTCTTTCCTCCCCAGCAGATCCAGCTCAGCTCCAAGAAGCCTTACCTCCATCCGGGCTATTGTCTGCATGTGGAGGGGATGGTCCTTAAGGAGCTTCCCAAAGGCAACTCGCCGCAGGGCATACTCCCTGCTCAGGCTGATCATCCTAGAGAATACAGCCAGGTAAAAGAGTTAGACTAGCAATCCTACTTCACCTTTGGCCTTTCCCGTTTCCCACTCCCACTGGGAGAACCCCACTCAGCTGTAGCATGCAAGCCTAAATCACCCACAGAACAACTCTCTCCAGCACTGGTGGATCCCAGACCTGTGCCCACAAGCAGTGCCATGCTAAGCCTTGCAAAGTCCCCTTGTCTTGGTAAGCTTGGTGAGCCCCAGGGCAGCGGCGCTTTCACCTTCTCATGGCAGCTACTGCACCAATGGTATTGTGGATCCGAGTGATGTTCAGCATGTGGGAGATGGAGGCCACTCCACGGCCCTCTGCAGAGATCTGAAAGCATCGAAGGAAAAAGGCTGATCTAAACCTCCTTTTGCATGACCTTGGAAGCTGAAGCACATCTGTCTAGGCAAGAGATGTGTCAAGAGGCAGACAGATGGGGTAGCCCACTCTGTCTGTCCTCAGGCACCAGAAAGATGTGCTTGCTCTAAAATATGGCCATCTCATTTTATCCAGGTCTTTGGCGTGACTAAACAGGTGACTTTGGAGACAATATCAGCATGATCAGGTCTGGTCTTGGGCCACCTGTTCCCACCTGCATGCGGCACAGAACTGTCCCTCAGCCACGTCCAACTGGATTAAGGAAATAACCATCCTGAAATGACTTTGTGTTTGATTTTGTTTTCCTTCTCCAGAGATTGCTTTAAATTCAGATCAGTTCCTTGAGGTCTTCACAGCTTTGTCCTACACACAGCTCTGTTGGGGCAGGGTTCTGTGGAATAAACAGCCCGCCACAGAAGTGGCAGAAACTTCCTTGTCTCTCTTCTTCATGGTTGTCTGCCATGCAAAGCCAGCCTGGTCACAAGAAGGTGAAATCACACTTACTAGCTCTGCTTTGGCTCCATCTAGCCATAGCTCTGCTGTTGCCATTTGGCGTGTACCCAACTTGTCCTTCAGCCTTTGCACTTTGATGTTGTTCAGCTTCCCATCCTCATCTTGGACCTTCAAGAAGAACAGGGACAGACCTCCAGAACCCTGGGGCAATTAAAAATGCATGCAAAGAAGATGTTGTTATGATGGAAAAAGGGAAGTAAACACGTATCCCCACTCCTTCACAGTTTTCCACAATGAAACAGACCTGGTTTACATGTCCTCGAGCATCCTCTTTCCTCGCCAGGGTCAATGTCACATCTGAATCAGCAGCTGATGTAAACCATTTAAAGCCGTGGAGATGATATGTACCATCTGGCTGCTTTCTGGCCAGTGTCTCTGTGCCATCAGCTGTAAGAGGGAGCAGGAGATCTTGGCTTTATGGGAACTTTTATATCAATCAGTGCTGATTTTCAGCTTAAGCAGAAGGTCTTGCTTGTCACCTCTTGCTATCAAGATGAAATACGGATTAGCTGCTAATCTGCTTCACTGGCCCTGGATAAAAGATGCAGTCGGGGTTAAGTACTAGAAAGAAAACGTCCTCGGTTGAGTCTGAACCTTTCCAGCAATTGTTCCAGGCCAACAGCTGAAAATGGCAGCACTTTGTAGGCAAAACACATAGTGGTTTATAATCCAGCTCCTCCATTTTTTAGGGGGTACCATGGCCAAGAACAAAAAATGGTCCTGTGGAATTGAGTCCTGCAATGATGCTCACCCTGCTAGCTTTTATTCCACAGCTTCTCCCACCAGGAAAACAGCTACTACTTCATCAGATGTAGGTGACTTTCTTTGCACACTTATGACTCTGTAATGGAGTTCGGAGATTTCCTGGTCTATTCTGATGTTACTATCACTTACCAAGGAACAAAAGTTGAAGGCCAAGACTATGTCTTCAGTTCTACCTGGAATGGGCCTCAATGATGCTCTGGAGTTAGATCTAAGAGCTAGATATCTGTGGGTTATCTGTGCAAGTACCACCTCCGTATCTGCATGTGTGTGTGTACTGAATGAGTTTGGTCTTCTACTAGTAAAAGGTAGAGCTATCTAAAAGAGTTACGTGACTTCGGCTGAAGTATCTAAATCAACTACACAGCTTTGAAAGTTCTCCCCTACCTTTCATCTTCTCGGTGCTTGCTAGCACAGCCAGCTGTCACTGCAGTCATTTCCCAGCTAGGGGCCCTTACCAACATCGGAGCCTCCCCGGCGCTCCGTCATCCACTGGCCAGAGGTCCAGAACTTCTTCGGGTCACGGGTTGTCAGATGGCCAAAAACATGTTTCAGAGATCCAGGAACACCCAGCGACTGTTTTGGGGGAGGGAAAATAAACCAAGATGAAAAATCCTAACGCAGTAGATGCATCTTGCCCAGACCAAATTTCAACAGTTCCCTTAACTCACAAGAGCATCTCCTACAAGCATCCCTGCAAGGCTCAAAGTGGGCAATAATACTGTATTCAGTGACGTAAGTAAATCTAAAAGCAAACCTGTGCACAAAGACTTTGTAAGTAACAGAGAAACGTGCCAGGTGGGAGATGGAGCTGAGTCACAGAGCAAGGAAGGGATGTGCACAGAGGCAGGTGGCAGATGAGCTTTCCTGGAGCCTTGGCTCTAATCAATGCTGCCAGCACCTGGGCTGTGTCCCGAGAGACAGGGGAGCTCATACCTCAATGACTTTGGCTGCTCCATCCGTCATGGCCAGAGGACAGTTGAAACCTCCAGAGAAGTTTGAAAATAAGTAGAGTTTGATAGCCTGATGCACACGGCTAAGAAAAAAAAAATGAAAACAGAGAAGTTTTGCAGCAGTTCAACAGCAGAAGGATAAAACATGACTCGAGAGAGGCCAAAAGGATACAGGCAACGCAGGTGAGAATCAGGCCACACTCATTTCTGAGAGGGCAGAAAATTTCAACCAGGAAGAAATGGAACAGAAGAGCTTCTCATTCCTAGAGAGATGGCCAGTGCAGGGGCTGGATGAAAGGCATTGCTTGCCAGTTGTGCACATTAACTGCAGTTCCTAAGAACAGTAAATGTGTGTCTGCCTCTGGAATACAATGCAATCACAAGTCCAGACCTGTGGCTGTATAATGGTGAGTGCAGGTAAAGCAGGAACTGTATGGAGAAGTGCCAGGCCACAGAATCAGAAAAGAGACATCAAAGAGTACAACTATCAGCAGAAGGTCACCAGGAACATCATGTGGAACATCACAGTGGCCAGAGACCCTGCTGTTCAGGGCTAGGTGTGCCTTTATCCATGTCTCATCTGTTACCCATTATCCAACAAGGAGCCCAGTCCTACTAGATGCTGAATATACCCTGCTAAGAACAACCAAGAATATTCAGCAAGTCACCAGGCCACTTGCCTTCACCAAGCTGCCCTCACCCATTCCCACACCCCAGTTACCTCCAGTTGGAGTATCTTCTCTCATAAGCCTCAGCAATTAGGCCCTCTTCTGCTGAGATTTCCTTTATCCTCTTCCAGGCTGAGCAGGTGATAATATGATCCAGCCGCTCCCCCCAGGCATCATACTGCCGAAATACGGGAGGATTCAACGCACATTCCCATGCTAGAGGTTGGATCTCGGTTATCAGACGGTTTCCAAATCTTTCCAGGTCCTGACTCACCTCCTCCTGTACCTGCGAAGCAACAACAGGAGCCCTTCAGCACACCCTGGGAAGACAAAGGGCCCGCAGCCTTATTTCGAAAGACAAAAAGATGGAGCCCAACTGTTGCCAGGTGCTAATGATCTCTTGCCACCTGGCCCTTCTGTGGTTCTGTAATGAGCAGGACAGCAGCTTGTCTCGTGGGCTCGGCTGGGACAGCTGTGCTCATCTGTCACTGTTTTTCCAGAACCCCTTTTCTGAAAAGGATGCGTCTCTGGATTTTACAAAACACAGAAAAATGTTTGTGTGAGGGTTGAGAATCACACAGATACTCATGAACAGGATGGGGGTTGACTAGACGAACTCCAGAGGCCCCTTCTAGCCTCAGCGATTCTGTGATTTACTGCTGGATACAAATTCCAGGGGGAGAAACCCGCCAAAAATGGAAAGGCCTCATCTACATAAGAAAAATTCCACTGGGCTCAATAGTTACCTGCTTATTGGATTAGCAAAGGAGGGATGGCTCAGCTGTTTGAGCTTCAGGCTGGCTCCTGAGCGGTCTAGATTCGTTTCTACTCTGCAACCAGCTTCCTGAACGTCTCTAGGTAAGAACTAATTTGCCTTGACTTTTGCCAGGGTTGGCTGCCTGTCACAGAGCAGTCTGTCCATCCCTAAAGGAGAGAAAGGGGCACCCGCAGAGAGGGATTCACTTCGACTTAGATCCTTGCTTTAGTGGGAGAAGAACTGCCCTCTCCAGGCACCTGCTCCTCTGCACTGACTGTGGCCAGAGCCTAGAGAACTTGCCTAGACTTAAATAACCTTACTGATCATTAAAATTAGGTCAGATGAATCCAACTTCTAGCATGGTAGGCCTTGTAAATACATTCAATCAGTAATAAGGGTCATAGAAGTGCCTGATCTAGATTAGCTTTCATCAGAGGAATCCCTTTTGTTCTTCTCTATCCACACAAGATCATTTCCCCCTAAGCATGACAAGTGTGGAGGTGAGTGTCCTTGTTGCTCTATTCAAATAGCACAAATATACAACACATTAATTCGCTGCTGATGAAGTTGAGACACTGCTTTTTCTCCTTTCTCTGCTCCCTCCTGTATTGACTTTTCATTAAACTACGTCCCGCGCGATTGATTCCTTCATCGCTCTGCCTCTCAAACTGGGGAATGAGCATCCAACACCTACTCTCTGCTTAGTGCTTTAGAAGGCTCAAACTTCAGGCCAACCAGTTTCTTTTCAGATAAACAGTGATACAGAAAGCAAAACACAACCCAAAACATGCCTGAGCTCCATATCAAACTGGTGCAATTTGTTTGCTCTAGCTGCAATTTGGCTGGGACTCAAATGACTCCAATGTTTATCGTACCTTGACTAAAATCTAAAGGTTGTTTTAGTGGGTCCAAGGATTTGTGGATTTCACTAATCCCTGAAGTGCAAGGACCTTTGCACTGTTTAGCAGGTAGTTTTTGCTGGGTAGAAGAACATGAATTTACCAAAGTGGTTTCCAAACCTGCCAGACCCCTAATCAGACAGGTCAAGGAAAGTGTCTGCACACAAGAGCGAATTCAAGCTGTGACAGTCCCTTCACTCCCATACACAGTGAGATAATTGGCCTCTCTGTGTGTTCCTGCCCTGACTTTGCATTTTAATGCTGTGTGCTGCCCACGTTAATGTGTTTATTTCCAAAGACGGAGAGTAAAATCAGAGCTCCTGTAAGTGGGACCGCTGAACGAGGTGCGCAGCAGCCTTGGCACTCCAGGCAATGTGCAACAGGCTACTGAAGGGTCATCCACAAGCCATTAACAAGCAGCATTTTCTGAGCACTCTTATTCACCCTAGTCAGTGCTTTAATGTCCCATGAGATTAGTATATTGGAAATGCATCAAAAGTGAAAAGAGATGATCCTTTATATTAAAGAAGATATTTATGGAAGGATCAAAGACCAAAAGATAACTGTGCCCCAAAAGAGCAGACTTTCTTCTATGTAGTTCAGAGATCATTTAAAAAAAAACAGATCTTGTGCTCCTTTCCAGGAAAATATTTTTGTTACCACTGGACACAGGCAA